CCGGGCTCTGGAGTACTCCGATTCGTCAAGTTTCCTTTGAGGAAACGTAAAAATGTGGTGTAAAGTAATAAACATAGTGTATCTCAATTTTGAAAATACCAAACATATTTAACACAAGTAGTTAATGTCACCTGATTTAAAGAGAAATATTGATGATGAAAAAGAAACTTGGCGTATAAGAGTCCATACTGAGTTGCCAGTTAGCCCTTTCCTGAAACTGGACGCACTCTAGTAGACACGGCCAGAACAGAATTTCAGATACACTATTCAGCCTTCATCTATACACAGGGTCACACGCGCTTGCTCCTGCCATGCAATCCTTGTTATCACGCTGAATGAATCGCATCACTGCTTCGCGATAAACAGTCCAAACACAACATTTTAACATGCATGAGTTCACTGTTGTCAAACGCGTTTACGTCTTTCTGTTCGAATTTTCCAATTACAGTCGAAACAGATGTTTAAGCCTTTGTTCAGTTACCTATCTTCCACGTTCATTAAAACTTCTGCTTCTTTTCCATCATATATTATAGATACTTTGCTTCCTCAATATGGTGAAAATGATAATATTCATAGAATATTCACACAGAGTTTAATTGTATTCTGTGAGAATATGCAGGGGAGGCAATGTAGTTGCCACTTGTTATATGGGGAACAAATTTTATTTTAGTCTTCAAATGGAATTGAGTATATAAATCTATTGCAAATATGTGTGTTTGTAGTCATAGTATAAGTAAGTTAACATGTGTGAGTGTGTGTATGTGTGTGTGTGTGTGTGTGTGTGTGTGTGTGTGTGTGTGTGTGTGTGTGTGTGTGTGTGTGTGTGTGTGTGTGTGTGTGTGTGTGTGTGTGTGTGTGTGTGTGTGTGTGTGTGTGTGTGTGTGTGTGTGTGTGTGTGTGTGTGTGTGTGTGTGTGTGTGTGTGTGTGTGTGAGTGCGTGTGAGTGAATGCCGTATGTGTGTGTGTGAGTGAGTAAGTGAATGCGTGTATGTTTGTGTGTGTGAATGAGTGAGCGAGCGAATGCGGGCGCGCGCGTGTGTGTGTGTTTTATGTGAATTGTTATACTCCCCTAAACGCTTTCTAACAAACGACAAACAACGGATCGTTTTTCCTCACACACACCAACCTCCTGGGGTCACCCGTGCTTAGGGTTAAGCTTCCCAATAATTCTCCATCTCCCCCCCAACATAGTTACGCACAGCACACTGACATCCACACTGCTACTAGAGCTAACAGGCAAACACTTTATTCCTCCATACGCCCATTTCCGCCCACGCCAGAAATTTAGGTAATGTTCCAGTACCCAACCTAATCACCATAAGTTTGCTGGGCCACTGCAAGTACATACGGGTCTTAAGGACGACGCGAAGTGGCAAGACAAGAGGGAAGGGTTGGTAAGATGTTAAATCTCTCAGTTTGTTTGTCTGTCTGTCTGTCTGTCTGGCTCTGGCTCTGGCTCTGGCTCTGGCTCTGGCTCTGGCTCTGCCTCTCCCTCTCCCTCTCCCTCTCCTCTCCTTCTCCTTCTCCCTCTCCCTCTCCCTCTCCTCTCCCTCTCCCCACTCCTCCTTTCTCTTCTGAAGGATCTGAAATAGTAGTCCATACATACTCCTCATACTTCCTTTCCTCATACTGAAAGAAAACACAACAGCGCCTCCGATCAATCCCAGGCAAACACCACCCACACAAAACGGACCGTGCATGTTCATCTCAGCGCTTACAACATTGCCTTCATGAAGATGTTCACATGTTGCATCTATGTAAACGTTCATTCTAAAAGGTTATGAAGGCACTAAACTTGCAGAGCGTGTTATAAACGGTGACGAAGCGCATTCCAACGACGCTCGCTCGAACATAACGCCAAAACAACGCATGAAAGCTGCATGACCTTGATCTCAAACTTAGACATTCCACCCCGCAACGCACCCACTGCCTCGCCATGCTGAAGCATATCCGATTCCTTGCAAAACATTCGTACCTTCTTCCGCCCTTACTCTACTCTCCTCCTCTCTCCTCCTCCTCGTTCACGTCCCCTCTTCCTCCTTCTTTCTTTCTTCTTTCTTCTTCTTATTCATATTCTCCTCCTCCTCCTCCTCCTCCTCCTCCTCTTCCTTCTTCTTCTTCTTCTTCTTCTCTTCCTCCTCTTCCTTCTTCTCCTCCTCCTGCTTTCCACCACTTCCTCCTCCTCCTCCTCATTCCTCCCCCTCCTTCTCCCCTCCTCCTCCTCCCCCTCCATTTACTCCTCCTCCTCCAGTTCTTCCCTCTTTCCCTCCTCCCTGCTCCCTCCCTCCTGGACGTCACCTCTGCCACATTCCCCATTCTGACCCCCTTTTTTCCTCCCTCCTTCCCCTCTGCCTCCCGCTCGTCGTTGCTCGGTTAGACACGAAAATATTTCGTGATGGGGGAGGGGGGGAGGAGGGAAAGGGGAAGGGCTGGCAGACCCCTACAAAATCGGTCATAATTAGCCCTCCCTTAGAACCATAAAGACGAGGCCTAGTTTTTTTTCTGTGTGTGTGTGCCTATGACATTTTTTTTTCTCTCTCTCTCCCTTCCCTTTTTGTACCCAAAGGGAGAGATAAGGGAAGTAATGGGCAGAATATCCGGGGAGAAAACCAACAGATCAAAGAACTCCAGCGAACGTGAGGGAGAGGGGAGGAGGGGGAGGAGAGGGGAGGGAGGGGGAGGTAGGGGAGTAGAAGGGGAGGTAGAAGGGGAGGGAGGAGGAGGTAGAAAGCGAGGGAGTGGCAGAAGGGGAGGGAGGGGGAAGGCGGAAGGCAGAAGGGGAAAAAATCTAAATGGAAACCATAGGCACTTTGCGACGGCTTGCTGAAACGCAAAAGTAAATTCTCCCGATACTTATCAGATGTAAATTTTGTGTGTGTGTCAAATGGAAATGATTAAAAATGCCGATTCCAGATAGCATCGCCGGGACGAAATTGGCGGCGAATCAAAGGAAATGTCGGTTCGTTCTTAGTGAATATTCATGTCCGTTTTGCTATTCACGTTCTAGTGACGATCAAAGTTTTCCACAACAAAAACCTTCCGTTTATGTATACATGCCTACGTAGCTTTTGGCTTACTTACATACAGACAAACATATATTCATATGTACATACAGGTAACACACACACACACACACATACATACACCACACACAAACGCACGCGCGCGCGCGCGCACACACACACACACACACACACACACACACACACACACACACACACACACACACACACACACACACACACACACACACACAATTACGCACACAAATACGCTGTATATACACACACGTTTCCAACTTTCTCAAGAAAAACATCATCATCTACAAATGATCTTCCTTTTCGCTGTTAAAACGTCGCGTAGGAATAACATTCCCGGAAAAAAAGCCAAAAATGAAAACAAAAAACTTTTAAAACATCTCACCACAATCTTTCCGTCCTTCCCCTAACTCATCTACCCGCCCCCCTATCCAAACTTCCTTTTCCCCCTAACTTCCTCCCCCCAACTTCCTCCCCTTAACTTCCCCTCCTCCGGTTCCTATCCCTAACATCCTCCCCTCTAACTTCCTTTTTTCCCCTAACTTCCTCCCCCACTAACTTACCCCCATCCTAACTTCCCTTTTCCCTAACTTCCTCCCCCCAACTTCCTCCCCTTAACTCCCCTCCTCCGGTTCCTATCCTAACATCCTCCCTCTAACTTCCTTCCCTCTAATTTCCTTCCTCCTAATCCCCATCCTGACTTCCTTTTCCCCTAACTTCCTCTCCCACTAACTTCCCCCATCCTAACTTCCCTTTTCCCCTAACTTCCTCCCCCCACTAATTTCCTTTTCCCCTAACTTCCTCCTCCCCCCCCAACTTCCTCCCCTTAACTCCCCCTCTTCTGTCTCCTAACCCTAACGTCTAGCCCATAGCCCTCTCCTTCCCCTCTTCCCCTCTTCCCCTAGACCTTCCCCGTAGCCCTTTCCCCCTAGCCCCTTCCCCCCTAGCCCCTTCCCCCTAGCCCCTTCCCCCTAGCCCTTCCCCCCTAGCCTTTCCCCTCGGTCTTGCAGCAGCACGCAGCTCCCTTTGCCCTTTTGGACTCCGCAGTCTTCTCCTCTTTCGTTTTTTCTTTTGTCTTTCCTCCTCTTTTTCTTCGCCGCTCTCTCTCTCTTCTTCCCATATCCCCCCCTCTCTCTCTCTCCTCTCTCTCTCTCCTCTCTCTCTCTCTCTCTCTCTCTCTCTCTCTCTCTCTCTTCTCTCTCTCTCTCTCTATCTATCTATCTATCTATCTATCTATCTATCTATCTATCTATCTATCTATCTATCTATCTATCTATCTATCTATCTATCATCTATCCTATGTTGTCTGGTCTTTCTGGATCTATTGCTCTCTCTCGTGTATATGTGTGTATGAGTGTGGGTGTGAAGATTAATATATCCTAGCCAACACCCTCCATATTAATAAGTACCCTTGTATACATCCTCGTTTTTCCTCTCTTCTCCCCCCATCCCCCCACCTCTTCCGCCTTGCGCCCTCAAACCGGCGAGACACATAAGTCACAGCTGATGTGGGATCCTCGAGACAAACACGGCCCGACTATTTGTCAATCACGTTTTTTCTTTCTGCTTCTTCTATTTTTATTCTTCTCTTCCTCCTTTTCTCTTTTTTTCTTCATCTTCTTCTTCTTCTTCTTCTTCTTCTTCTCTCTTCTTCTTCTTCTTCTTCTTCTTCTCTTCTTCTCTCTTCTTCTTCTTCTTCTTCTTCTTCTTCTTCTTCTCCTCCTCCTCCACCTCTCATCATCATCATCATCACCATCAATCATCATCATCAATCATCATCATCATCATCATCATCATCATCATCATCATCATCATCATCATCATCATCATCATCATCATCATCATCATCACCATCATCATCATCATCATCATCATCATCACATCACCACCACACCACCATCACCATCACCACCACCATCACTCCCACCGCACCACCACCACCACCACCACCTTCATCCTACT